GATCATAGCCTTATCGTGAGCACTGCGGGCCTTAAGGCGACAGAGAAACCCCAAACAGAGGAACATACCGAAGCAACACATTGCACCAAAAATGCCTACTCCCACCCACTCCTTAAAAAAGGAAAAAGCAGAAGAAATCCAACGGGTGAATTGTCCCAAAGTCACTGGTACGACACGGGTGTTGTTCAAAACAGCTATCTGAGTCAGTTGAGACTGGATCAAATTTTCTGCCACCATGGACCAATTTCCGGCCAAGTACTCTCCGATGATGCGGGAAGCGTTTCTGAAATCATTAAATCTGACAGAAGTTATGTACAAATGCGCACGTTGGTCAACACAGCCCAAAAGCACCATGTCAGACAATTCTTCTACCTGAGCTTGAAGTAGGTCTATTCTTTGGTTAGCAGCTAAAATCCCTGACAAAAGATGTTGGTTAACTTTATTTTGAGATTCGAGTATGGTGGAAGTTTGTTGAATAACATTATTAATAGTGGCAGCAGTTTGTACTTGGCTGGCCATGGCTACTCCGGCCGTAACTGCTGCATGATTTTGAGCAGCCTGTTCTACTGCACCCTCTAACATGAATGCTCTCCAATCTAGATATTTTCCCGGGGAGACACAGGCTCGGACTAAGCCACCCCAATCTGAGGGGGTCATGCAGAATCTAGTCAGTCCTTCCACCTGAGTAAGAGTGAAAGCAGCATCTCTGCCATAAGTACGGACGGATTCTGCCAAGGTTTTAATTATTTTAAAATCTAAAGGCTCATGATATCTTCCCCTATTATTGTCCTGAAAAACTGGGTATGCTAGTCCCATGTCTGTATTAACTGTTCTCCAGACTTGAGAATGAAAAGTCCTCCCGGAGCCTTGGACTCCTCCCACGTACGGGGGCAGAGCAATGGGTGGATCTATGGGTGGAACATCAGGTATAGAGCCCTCCTCTAGGTTCTCAACTTCCTCCCCAGAACTGGATTTATTACCCTTCTCACAGCAGGCTTTTACATCTGTTGTTTCCCGTTTTTTCTTTTTTACCTTAGTCTTACGTAATTGTTGTAATAACTTGTCCAATTCCTCAGAACTGTCCGAGCTACTTGTGTCCTTGGGAGTTTTTAACTCAGTCAAGTCCGGATAGAGCCTTCTCCTCTGTTTAACTTCAGACTCCCTTGTCTGTTCACCACTCTTACTCCTAATACTTTCTGCTACCTCGCTATGTGACCCCTCTGATTTTACTTCATGCAATTGCTCAAGAACGGCCTGACCCTCGCTCACAGCTTTCTGGCATTTACCATCCATTATACACCCCCTCACTAATTTCCAAAGCGGAATGGTACC